TTTTATGTTTAAGAATTAATTTGCTAGAATTTATCAATCAGAGAATAATTTATTATTAAAGCAAAGATCATATCTTACTTTTCTTTTTGCCTCAATGAAATTTATAAATATAAATTGCTGTAAAACATTGTTAGCATAAGTGATAACAAAAGAAAATGATCAAACTTCATGGATATTTATTTGATAGAAGCAAAAAAAAAAAAAAAAATTTAGCTTATAAAAGCTTAGCTTTAAAATTTCAAATTTCAAATTTCTCCAACCAACAACAAAAATGTATCTAATATCATTGCTTTGCTATTTTCTATTCTTTAGTTGTAAGTTTTAAAATTTTATTTTAATTTTTTGTGTAAAAATTTTGTTTTATTTATTTTTTATTTATTGGTGTAGATAAATTGTCTAATTGTAAGTTAAAATTGAAAAAAAAAAAATTAAATAATTTGCTAAAGTAAATTACCTAATAATAAAATATTACCTTTGAAGAAGGTATGTAAGTTGTAAAATTTATTTTAATTTTTTTGTGTAAAAATTTTTTTATTTTATTTATTTTTTTATTTATTGGTGTAGATAAATTGTCTAATTGTAAGTAAAAATTGAAAAAAAAAAAAAAAATTAAATAATTTACTAAAGTAAATTAATAAAGTATTACCTTTGAAAAAGGTAAATTTAAATTTTAATAAAATGATTTTTTTTTTTTAAAAAAAATAAAATTAATTATTATTATAGTATGGCAAATTATTAATTCGTTATCAACGTGTCCGACTGGTTTCAGTTATTATGAAAAACTCAAAAATGCTTTATGGTAAATTTTTCGTCAAATTTTACGAATTGTATTGCTTGTTTACACTGTAAATTAATTTATTCATATGTTTAAATTTTTTTTTTTTTTAAAAAAAAAGGACAGAAAATTGTGTAAATATAAATATTTTTGTAATTTTATTTATCAGTTAATTTCAATTTGGTGATAAAAAAGTTTAGGTGATAAATCATAATTATTTTATAATTTTATTTATTATTTTATCAGTTAGTTTCAATTCAGTTGATAAATCATAATTATTTTGTAATTTTATTTATCAGTTAATTTCAATTCAGATGATAAATCATAACTAATTTTAATTTTATTTATCCGCTAATTTCAATTTAGTGATAAAAAATTTGGTGATAAACCATAATTATTTTGTAATTTTATTTATCAGTTAATTTCAGTTTAGTGATAAAAAAATTAGGTGATAAATCATAATTATTTTTTAATTTTTTTTATCAGTAAATTTCAATTTTAGGTGATAAAATGGTCGGATAAACCAATGAGCCAATATATGCGCGTTTGTCGTGCGCAAGTAAAAATGCTTTTCTAGCATCTATTGAATCTGCTGAAGAAAATGAGCATATCAGAAGTATTTGAACTTTTTATAAGAAATTTTTTTTTTTTTTTACTAAAATTAAACTTTTATAAATTTTTCTAATTTTATTCAAATTAATTACAGGTTTAAAGAAGCATTTAATTAAAAAGTTTAACAAAAGAAGCGATTTATGAACTAATTTAAAAACTTTTGAATTAATTAAAAAGTTTAAAGAAGTAATATATGAGACTAACAGTGGAAGAAAATTGACAATATTAATAAATATTAAATAATAAATAAAAATTAAAACTAAATTTAAATAGGAATCCAAATAAGATATAAAACAATTTACAATATTAATTACATTATATTAAATTAAAACAATTTACAAATTAATATTTTATATTTATATTAATTTTTAAATTTAATTTTTTCATTTTTACAAAAAAAAAAAAAATAAAAAATGAAAAAAAAATATTTTTAAAGGTTATTATTGGATGAAAATGTGGAAAGTGCATATATCGGTTTACAATCAGTTCCGTACGATGTAACACAACGATATTTCTGTACCGGTGAAACGATCGATTATACAAATTGGTTATCCGGAAAACCGGATAATAAAAATTTAAAAGATAATGGTTGTGTTATATTAAATGCTAAAAATGGCAAATGGATTGATTACAGTTGTGATGCTAATGATGAATTAGGACCTTGGGCAACTATTTGCCAAATTAAAGATACCCGGGAAGAATATGATGAGTTAAAATGCCCTAAAGGATTTGAATATTGTTCAAATACAAAAAATTGTTATAAGGTTTGTTAGAAAATTTCATTAATTTTTAATATAAATATAAATTTAATTCAATTTTTTTTTTTTCATTATTTTATAATAAAAAAAGAAAAAAAATGTTATAAATTTTATTTCTTTCAAAGTAAGTTTTACTTTTCTTCTTTAGTTTTAAAAGTAAGTTTTGTTACTTAATAAAATTAAATCTTTTCTTTAAAAACTATTTTGATATTTTTATAGCAAATTATTACTTTTGTTATTTGTATATAAATAATAATTCTACTAATTATTTTCATAGGTAATAACTGCATTACCTATTTTTATAAGTAATAATTCCATTACTTATTTTTTACATATATGTAATAATTGCATTACTTATTTTTATAGTAATAATTCCATTACTTATTTTTATGGGTAATAATTCCATTACTTATTTTTATAAGTAATAATTCCATTACTTATTTTTTACATATATGTAATAATTGCATTACTTATTTTTATAGGTAATAATTCCATTACTTATTTTATGGGTAATATTCCATTACTTATTTTTATAAGTAATAATTCCATTACTTATTTTTTACATATATGTAATAATGCATTACTTATTTTTATAGGTAATAATTCCATTACTTATTTTTATGGGTAATAATTCCATTACTTATTTTTATAAGTAATAATTCCATTACTTATTTTTTACATATATGTAATAATTGCATTACTTATTTTTATAGGTAATAATTCCATTACTTATTTTCATAGGTAATAATTGCATTACTTATTTTATAGGTATTAATTGCATTATTTATTTTTATAAGTAATAATTCCATTACTTATTTTTATAGGTAATAATTCCATTACTTATTTTTATAAGTAATAATTCCATTACTTATTTTTATAAGTAATAATTCCATTACTTATTTTTATAAGTAATAATTCCATTACTTATTTTTATGGGTAATAATTCCATTACTTATTTTTATAAGTAATAATTCCATTACTTATTTTTATAAGTAATAATTCCATTACTTATTTTTATAGGTAATAATAAAGGAAAAGGAATGAATCAAACAGAGGCGCAAAATGAATGTAAAACTTATAATGCGCATCTTGTAAGCATTGATTCGGAAGAGGAAAATCAATTTGTTTCTGGTAATTTTTATAATTTAACTTTATTAAAACAATAAAATTTCAAAAATTAATTTATGATAATTCTATAGAAAACAAACAAAAAAATGAAAGAAAGAAAATAAATTTTATTAAAAAATATGAAAATAATCTCAAATATTCAAATTATTTTTTAATTTTAAGTATTTCTATAACATTTATGCTACTTTTTTTATTTAATTTAGTATAATCTTTAATTATTTCATTACTTATTCAATGCTAATTTAGTTCAATTAATTATATTTAATTAATAAATTTAATTTCGAATTTATATATTTTACAAGTTTTATATTATATTTGTAATAAATATTAAAAAAATAATTCTTTTTCTTTCTTTTCATCATTTTAATATTATTTATTAATTTTTCATACAAAATTATAATATTTTACTTTTTCAATTTATTATATTATATATTCTTTAATTCTATAATGTTCTAAAATATTATATTATTTATATATATTTTATTCCACTTTATAAAATTATATTATACAAAAATTAAATTTTAATTAATTAAAAAAAAAAAACAGAAAAATAATTTCTTTTTTCATTTTCCCATCTTTTTAAAATATTATTTATTATTTTTTTTTTTTGTGCAAAATTATAATTATTTTTTATTCTATTAATATTTATTATATTTATATGTATTTTATTCATTTTACAAAATTATATTATACAAAAGTAAATTCTAATTAAATAAAAAAAAAAAACGATAAAAATTAAAAATAAAATTTTATAAAAAAATTTTTTTTTTTAAGATTTATCAATGAAACATCCACTTTCGGCAATGCGTATATTTATTGGATTAGAATTACATCAAACTGATGATATTAGTGAACAGCATTGGTTAGATGGTACAACAATTGATTATACAAAATGGGATTATATGAAACCGGATAAGGAACGTGTTCGTCCGGAACATGAATGCGTGATAATGATTCCGGAACGACATGGTGTATGGTCGAATTGGTCATGTGCTGATTCATGTTGCGCTAAACATGCTATTTATGGAGCTGTTTGTGAAATTGATCATGATGATAAGATAATATAAAATATAAATTTAATTCTAATTTTAATTTTTAAAAAAAATTTTTTTTTGTAATTTAATTTAAATTTAATAAAATTAAAAAAAATATATATCAAATAATAATAATTTATTAAATTATGTTTTTCTTTTTTTTTTTTCGTTGTTTGAAATAAATTATTGTAATTAATAAAATTGCATTGAGAATATGCAAAAAAAAAAAAAATTATATTAATTCGAATATAATATGAATATTTATTTTATGTAAACAATTAAATAAATTTTTGTAAGTTAAATAAAATTTAACAAAAAAAATTTCACAAAACCGAAAAACAAAAATGAGAAAATGAGAAATTAAAATAGCCAAAAAAAAAAAATTATTTTAATTGTTAAATAATTTTAATAATTTTTTTCGTCTAAGATTTAAATAAATTATCGATTGTATTTTTAGTATTAAATTAAATTATTTTTCTTTTTAAATGATTAATATTAAATTATTTTTTAAATAAATAAAAAAAAATGTTAAAATTATGTTAATTCTTGATTATTTTTAATATAAATTAAAATAATAAATTATGAAAAAAAAAATTGAATAATGAATAAAATGAAATTAAATTTTGCCAAAAAAAAATTTGCATTTTCCTTTTTTTTTTTTTTTTTTATGAATTAAAAACATAAAAGAAAGAAATGTTATCATTGTTATCAGTTGGTTACTAATCATTTTGCTAATCTTTCAAATTTTAACAATCCAATCTGAAAACAATTTTAAATTTTTTATTGAGTAAACAAATGTCTAAACATAGTATTAATTATAAACGTAATCGAAGGAAACAAAATGGTAATATCTGATTGATATTTGTTAAATTTAACACTTTTCTTATCATTTTTTTCTTAAAATTTCTTATCATTTCACTTTTCTTATCAATTTAACAAATAGTATAACTAATATTTGAAATTGTTAAAGTGGGCATTTTACTTTAGAATAAATCTTATTATTTGTAAAATTTATATTAAAGAAATTCGAGAATTTATACTTTAAAATTTTAAGAGTTTATAATAAAAGTTGTTTGAAATAAAATTTAAAACAAAATTAAAATAAAATTTAGGTCTAGTCCAGGTGGAACACCCGGACCATATGGTCGAATTCGACAAAAACAAGATTTCATTGATATTAAGAAAGAAATTGAGAAGTTAAAACGAATTAGTCGGTAATTTAATTAGCTATCAAATTTTTAAATAGTAAGAGGAAAAGCACAGAGAGAGAGAGAGAGGGGAAGAGAAAGAAAGAAGAGAGTAATACTTTTGTATGTTTAACAATGATAAAAATATTACAATTGTTTCAAAAAAATACAGAAATCATTCTTTCTTTTTTTCTTTTTAGAAATTTATATTAATGAATTTATCAAAGTTATATTTTTGAAAAATTTAGGAATTTATATTAAAAGTTATTTAAAAAAAAAAATTACACCTATAAATAGGTTATTTATTTAAATAAAACCTACAATCGATTATTTAATTAAATAAGTATTACACCTATAAATCGATTATTTAATTAAATAAGTATTACACCTATAAATTGATTATTTAATTAAATAAGTATTACACCTATAAATCGATTATTTAATTCAATAATTATTACACCTATAAATCAATTATTTAATTAAATAAGTATTGCACCTATAAATCGATTATTTAATTAAATAAGTATTACACCTATAAATCGATTATTTAATTAAATAAGTATTACACCTATAAATCGATTATTTAATTAAATAAGTATTACACCTATAAATCGATTATTTAATTCAATAATTGTTACACTATAAATCAATTATTTAATTAAATAAGTATTGCACCTATAAATCGATTATTTAATTAAATAAGTATTACACTATAAATCGATTATTTAATTAAATAAGTATTACACCTATAAATCGATTATTTAATTAAATAAGTATTACACTATAAATCGATTATTTAATTAAATAAGTATTACACTATAAATCGATTATTTAATTAAATAAGTATTACACCTATAAATCGATTATTTAATTCATAATTATTACACCTATAAATCGATTATTTAATTAAATAAGTATTGCACCTATAAATCGATTATTTAATTAAATAAGTATTACACCTATAAATCGATTATTTAATTAAATAAGTATTACATCTATAAATCGATTATTTAATTAAATAAGTATTACACCTATAAATCGATTATTTAATTAAATAAGTATTACACCTATAAATCGATTATTTAATTCAATAATTATTACACCTATAAATCGATTATTTAATTAAATAAGTATTGCACCTATAAATCGATTATTTAATTAAATAAGTATCACATCTATAAATAAACAAAAACAAAAAAGCAAAGAAAGCATTTCATATTTAAAAAAATGTAAACAAAAAAAAAAAAAAATAAAAAATTTGCATATATTTTCAGGAAATTAAATAAGACTGAAATTAACAAGAAATCAATGGAAGGAATGGAATTAAAATCTTCATCTAAATTATTTGAGTATAATTTAAATAAACAAACACAAAATGAAATGCATTTTAATGCATTATTTGAGCAGAAAAGCGATGAAAATAATGTTAATTGTGCTAATGTAACAAATGTAAATCAAAATTTTAATTTAAATCAAAATTAAATTCAAATCAGAAATTATTAAATGATGAAAATTTGATCAAAAATTTATCAGTGAAACAATGTGCGCAAATGTACGAACCTGACAAATGCTAATAAAACAATTAATCATTTTAATGCAATATGAAAATTTGATTAATAAATTGAATGAAAAATTAAAATCAATCGAATTATTCACTCAAAAACAATTGGCAAAAAAAAGAAAAAAAAAAAGACCTATCGTACTACTAAATGAAAAAATGCCGTAAAGTTGAAAAATAACTTTTGCGCACAAATTTTTTTTTATAATAAATGAATTTGCAAAAATGTATTTATTTAATTAATTGCAATAAATGAAATGATATTATCAATTTATAATTTATTTTGACATTATTTCTATTAATTTATAAATTAAATTAATTAATTAATTAATTAGATGATTGTTTCATATTATTTCATATCATTAAGTTATACTAAGTAATCTTAGCAGGTAAAAAAAAAAAGTAAAGAAAGAAAATGATAGAACTGAATAACATATTCCGTTTAATTACCGGAATTATTAAATATGAATTATAAAAAAAAAAAAAATTCCCTCTTTTCCTTTCTGTCTTTCTCTCTCTCTCTCTCTCTCTCCCTCTTTATTGTTAAATTCTTAAATAATTCAATAAATAAATAATCACTAACATATATTAACAATGATTTCTCTTTTTTTTTTTTTTTTGCATCGCAATGATTGATAGTGATTTCCTGATCGAATTCATAATAATCGTGATTTCTTGATTGATTTTCTATTCATTATGATTTCTTTATCAAATTGATAATTATTGTGATTTCTTTATCAGAATTATAATGATTGTAAAAATTTGATCGTTATCAAATTTATACTGATTGTGATTCCTAAGTCGAATTCATAATAATCATGATTTCTTGATTGATTTTCTATTTATTATGATTTCTTAACCAATTTTCTAATGATTGTGATTTCTTTATCAACTTTATAATGATTGTGATTTATTTATCAAATTTATAATGATTGTGAATTTTTAATCAGGTTTATAATGATAGCGATCTGTTATCAAATTTATAATGATTATGATTTCTTTATCAACTTTATAATGATTGTGAATTTTTAATCAGGTTTATAATGATAGCGATCTGTTATCAAATTTATAATGATTATGATTTCTTTATCAAATTGATAATTATTGTGATTTCTTTATCAGAATTATAATGATTGTGAATTTTTAATCAGGTTTATAATGATAGCGATTTCTTATCAACTTTATAATGATTATGATTTTTTTATCAACTTTACAATCATTGTGATTTCTTATCAAATTTATAATGATTGTGAATTTTTAATCAGGTTTATAATGATAGCGATTTCTTATCAAATTTTTAATGATTATGATTTCTTTATCAACTTTATTGTCATTGTGATTTCTTTATCAGAATTATAATGATTGTGAATTTTTAATCAGGTTTATAATGATAGCGATCTGTTATCAAATTTATAATGATTATGATTTCTTTATCAACTTTACAATCATTGTGATTTCTTTATCAAATTTATACTGATTGTAATTTTTTTTGACAAATTCAACTTATGCACTTATCTTTTTAATTATTAATTATAAGCTAGACAACAAATAATCCAGACAATTATTGCAAATTTATTGAAATAATATTAATAAACTTACAGTAATTTATCATTCTTGATAAACTGATAAACCGATCGATCATTTCAATCAATTTATCAATTCTATTTTAGTATTACATTGCAATCAAATTACTCCAAGTAAATTGTGGGAGAAAAAAACAAAAAAACAAAAACAAAATTTTCCTGTCATCCACATTGTTAAGAAATAGCGATAAGATCAAAAATTTGTATTTTCGTTTTAATTTCTGAATTTCCTGATTAATTTGCATGAAATTTCCGGATTTTTGCTTATTAATACATTCGTTAGATTCTTTCTTTTTTTACTTTTTTTTCCTTCAATTTCTAAATTAATTAAATTAGTAATTAGTTAAATTCATAAATTCGTTTATTCTACTTTATTTATTTTTCTAATTATTTTATTTATTTCATAAGTTGCAACGTATTTTACACATGCTTTTTTTTGATAGAGAAATAAGATTATTTGTTGTTTACGTCACCAATGTACACGTTTGACGTAAATGACGTAAGTGTATGACTCATATTTAGGTAAGTAGCATTGAATCACTGTTTAGAATACTTCATGCATTCCTAAAATATTTAAAATATTTCAAAAAAAAAAAAAGATGAGCAATGAATTGCAAAAATGATTTAGTCAATCGTTTTCAAATTAAAATTGATTCCAGGCGGTATTGTACATTATTTAAATGCGCTAATGACCGGTTCAATTTTTATATATATATTTTTTTTAACATTTTTAATAGCTAAATAAAAAAAGAAAAAAAAAATGCAATTTAAGCTTCACTGAATGATTGGAATGTTCGGCAATTTTAACAAATTATTAAATAATTAAAAAAATATTAAAATACTAAAAAAATATTAAATTACTAAAAAAGAAAAAAAATTTATTGCAAATTATAAAAATTTTTTCTTTTTTTTAACTTAATTTTTATATATTATTATTTATAAATTGCGCAAATTTAACATTAATTAGCAATGGAAAATTAAATTTTTTTTTTTTAATTTTAAAATTATCTGAAATTTTTTTATTTTGCATCGTTTAAATTGAAAAGAACAATGAGTCACTTATCATAGTTTTAATCAAAATTATTCAGTTAATTTGAATTTATTTGCAAAAAAGAAAGAGAAAAAAAAAATTATTTTTTTTAATTTACTTTTTTTCCTTCAATTTCTAAAATTAATTAAATTAGTAATTAATTAAATTCATAAATTTCTTAATTATTCAGTTAATTTGAATTTATTTGCAAAAAAGAAGAAAAAAAAAATTATTTTTTTTAATTTACTTTTTTTCCTTCAATTTCTAAAATTAATTAAATTAGTAATTAGTTAAATTCATAAATTTCTTTATTTTACTTCATTTATTTTTCGAATTATTTTATTTATTTCATAAATTGCATTAATATTAAACTCTTTAAAAAAATTTTTCAAATACATTTAATTGAACTATCTAAATTGTTAATAATAATAAAAGTTTAACTTTTTTTCTTTTTAAATGATAATAAAGTAAAAGATAAAAATTTTTAATATTTAAATATTATCTTTATAATTGAATTTTTTGATAGTAAAAATTTATAAATTTCCTATTTACAAAAATTATTTATTTTTTGAATATTTCTATCATAGTCTTGCAATTATTATTAAATTTAAAAATTATTTAAAAAAACTTCCAAAATTTGTTTGAAAATTGTAAAACGTTTTTTTTTTTCATAATTGCAATTTTTGTTTAATTGCGCTCAGGCGGTTAATTCAAACGTCACTATTTGGTGACATCCGTATGTCATACAAAAAAAAAAAAAAAAAAAAAAAAAACAATAAAAAAATAAAATAACAATAAAATGAAGAAAATTATTTACGACGAAAAAGAAAAAAAAAAAGTGCTCAATTTCATATATAATTGATGGTAAATAGCTCAATAATAGTTTTTAAACATTTAACAAATTTTTTCAATGAATTTTTTTTTTTGTTAAAATTTTTGAAATCTTGTTTGAAATTTTTAAATTACATTTGAATCAGCTCAGATCGAATGAACAAATTATCTAATCGATCTCAAATTGCTCTTAATATATCAACATTTTCAGTCATTAAAAAGGAAAATGAAATGATTCAAAAAAAAATTTTTTTTATCATTTATTTTATATTTATTTATATTTGTTTATTTTATATTTATATTTATAGGTTTTTATCATTTATTTTATATTTATTTATATTTACATTTATTTATTTATATTTGTTTATTTTATATTTATATTTATAGGTTTTTATCATTTATTTTATATTTATTTATATTTACATTTATTTATTTATATTTGTTTATTTTATATTTACATTTATAGGTTTTTATCATTTATTTTATATTTATATTTATTTTTTTAATTTATATTTGTGTATTTATATTTGTTGATTTTGTAATTATAGAATTTTATCATTTATTTTATTTTTATATTTATTTATTTATATCTTTTTATATTTAAGTATTTATATTTATTTATTTTATATTTATAGGTTTTTATCATTTATTTTGTATTTATATTAATTTATTTTATTATTATATTTATTTATTTATATTTACGTATTTGTATTTTTTATTTTATAATTATAGAATTTATCATTTATTTCATATTTATACTTATTTATTTTTATTTGTATTTATTTGTATTATTTATTTATATTTGTTTATTTTATATTTATGTGTATTTATTTATATTTATTTATTTATATCTGTTTATTTTATATTTATAGAATTTTACCATTTATTTTATATTATTTATATTACTGTTTTTTTGTAATCTATTTAAATGCACAAAAAAATCATTTTTCAATATATCAAAATTATTTTAGATAAGTAAATGAGATAAACAAGTAAAATTTTGTACTAAATTTTTGTTATATTTTATTTGTAAGATTAAAAACAATTTGTTTTTTTTAATTTGCATAAGTTTAACTAATCATTTCATTTGAATACCTTAATTTTCTTAAATATCTTTTTTAAAATATTTAAATACCTTAATTTAAATATCTTAAATAGAAATAAGATCGTTTTTTTCCTCTTCCAAATCAAATTTAGGAGAAAGAAGCTGCATTTTTAATTCATTTCAATAATTTTAAGTAATTATTTCAGTACTTTTAATCAAAACTATTGAATTATTTTTTTATCAAATTTAATTTAATAATAAAAAAACTGAAAAAAGAAAATATAATAAAATAAACAATAAATTTGAAAAAGAAAATGAAAAATTAAAAAACTTTTTGCTTAAAATTATTCATATCAGAAATTTTGAAGTAATACATTTGATATTTGATAAATTACTGAATGTATAATTTAAAATTTAATTTTATAATTCAATGAA